TACCTGATAGTGGGCGTCGACTACTTCACCAAGTTGGTTGAAGCCGAAGCTTTAGCTAAAATCATGGCACACAACATATTCCGGTTCTACAAAATGAACATCCTCGCCAGGTTCGGCGTCCCGCTCACCATAGTCACCGACAACGGGACACAATTCACCGACAAAAGCTTCCGAGACTTCGTCACCAAACTCAGAACCATACACCACTTCACCTCGGTCGAACACCCATAGACAAACGGCCAAGCCGAGGCCACAAACAGAGTAATCCTCCGAGGATTAAAACAAAGACTCGGCGATGCCAAAAGAGGGTGGGTTGAGGAGCTCGACAGCGTGGTCTGGGCATACCAAACGACGCCTCACTCGACCACTGGGGAAACCCCGTTCCGCCTCACGTACGGAACCGAGGCCGTGATCCCAGTCGAAATCAGGGAACCATCCAGAAGGATTGAAGCGCCTCTCGAAGAGGAAGCCAACAACAAAGCTCTTCAGGAGGAGCTCGACCTATTCGAGGAGATCCGTTCGGGAGCGGCCCTCCGCGAGGCCAGGTTAAAACAGAAAATAGCCCAACGCTATAACAACAGAGTCATGAGACGCGAATTCCAGATTGGCGACCTGGTCCTACGAAGAAACCAAAAAGACTCGCACGAGGGCAAGCTCGCCGCAAATTGGGAAGGTCCCTATCGTGTGCGAGATAAAACGGAGCACGGGGCCTATTACCTCGAAAACCTCCCTGGGGACCAACTAGCTCGACCATGGAACCCTGAGAAGCTGAAAAAAATACTACAGTTAAAATACTGCCCGCGGCGAAAACTGCCGCGACCACAGGGGGGCGACATGGTACCTTCGCACCTCCTCGCGTCCCCCGAGACCAACGAAATAGCAAGCCCTACCCTTGTGTGCGCAGGTATAAGGCTCTTCTCGACGGAGATTCCCTCGACCGAGGATCCCCGCCGATGTACCAGAATAGGCAGAAGACCCAGCTCGCGATGGGAAGTTCACGCTGCAGGGACCAAACTACCCCCACCACGACCAGGTAACGAAACCAGTCTTTCGGCCAGTTCTCCACACTACCGGGAACAATTATCTTCAAGCTACTTCCCCTGGACATACCAAAAGGCACAATAATCACACATTTTACACGAGCATACAATGTGCAGAAACAAAACAGGCATATCATCATGCAAAAACAAAACGACCGCACACTTGAACAAAATACCATCTTATAAAATCGGGCACCAGCCCAGTAGTCAGGTTACAAAATCAAATGAGGCGCGCAGGCCCAACAAAAACACTTAAGTAAAAAAACCTAAACATTGGCGCGTGGGCCTATAAGCCACGGGCACGCAGGCCCGAAAAAATATACACATCTTCGACGTCCACATGATGCTCGTCCATCGGGGCAGAGTCATCAGCAGCTTCAGCGGCAGGGTCGACCACCCGTCTATTGACTATCTGGTGGAAAGGCCCGATTCCATCCACGACCAGGCTGCCCGCAGGGTTAACCACTTTGAGCTGGTCCACGGCGCTGGAAAAGCCAATCCCGAATGCCTCCAAGCAATCACCCTCCAACTCCCGGATCTTCCTCATCAAATCCGAACGGGTGACCATGAGCTTGTCTTCGTCCATCTCGTCGTTGACAAGACAGGGAGATCCCTCCAGCTCCCCCACACGGGCCTTCAACGCCTGCACCTTCGCTTCCGCGGCCTTCAGCTTCTCCTTGGCGCTTTCACTCCCCTTCCACTCCGCAGCTGTATCTTCCTGGCCCTTCGCCAGCTCCTCGGTCAGTTTGTTCAGCCGCGACTGCGCGAAGGTAAGGTCACCTTGCAACTTAGCTAGCTCAGCCGAGGAACAACTCTCGTCGCTCAAGACCAAAGTCGTCGAGAACACCAGCACCATGGCTGCAAAATCCTCAGTCAAAACCTGCCTTCGAGCAACCCTGTCTAAACCGAGGACCTTCCTGGCCTCCCCGACCGGTACGGATGGTGACCACACACCGTGAAAGAAGCCAGGATGCTGGTAGCACGACGGGATTAAGAAGCCCTCCTCAGCGAACCCTGCCGTCAAGTCAACGGGGCCCTCCGGCTGATGAACCTTGCCCCGTTTGGCAGCACCTTGAGATGAGGGGGACTGGCTCCCCTGGGGTGACGATGAGGAACCCCCGCCCCCCTGATCAGAAGCAGCCTGCCCGACCACCTGGGCAACCCGCGTTTTACCAACTTTAACCGGAGCTCTGGTTGAAGCCAACCTCTTCACCCTCTCCTTGGCTGTGGACATACTTCCTGCAAAACAAAGGAAAAATATCAGAAAAAGAGTAAACAATTGAGTGGGCAGGGGAAAAGAGACACGACCACCACCTAGATAACTAAAGGCCTCCTCCTCCGTCGAGCACTTGAGCAGAGTCTTTGTGCTGATCAGCCTCGGTTTCTGGAAAACACACCCTTCCCTATCGCGGATGTATCTACCGTCGGGTGTCACGAGGTCCGCCAGAGGTAGGCAGGCCACAAACCTGACTATCCTCAGATAGTTGGCCAGATCATCCTCATCGAGGGTCCCTGCCCGCATGATATACCGGTCAATACCCCACGAGAAGTGCTCCTCAGTCCATTCCAAGGGCACCTTCGGGATCAAGACTTCCTCCCGCTGCCCGTTCACCACTCGCTCCTCTCGCCTATACAACGAGGAGCACGCCCCATGGGATATCGGTTTCATAATGAAGAACCGAGCTTTGAAATCCCGGACAGAATCCATATATGTCCAAAAAAGTTTCTTCGGTTGCTTTAACGAGACCCACCCATGTCGACCATCTACTGTCTGCCGTTGCAGGTGAAAAAGTCGGAAGAACAGCGATAACGTCGCCCCGATCTCCAGATACCGCCAGACAATCTCGAACGCGCGGACAAAGGCTACGGCGTTAGGGTGCAGCTGTGAGGGGGCTAACTATAACCAATCGAAGACCCCCAGTTGGAAATCCGAGAATGGCAGCCTGAGCTCGGCTTCCCGAAAACAAAACCCATACATAGGAAAACGCATCTTCCTGAACGACGAGCAAACACGGTGATGCTCGCGCGGACGATACGCCTGCCAATTTTGGGGGTCATCCTGACATATATCCTCGACAGTGGCGAAGGCGCCATTCTTGCGTTCCACGAAGTACGAAGGGGTAGTCAGAGGTTCCTCAGCCACCCATTCCTCGACTGGACGGACTGCGTTTTCAACGGTGGGCACCTCTAGCTCATCGTCCACGTCCATAATCCCCGGGACCAACGATGTCATTAACACCTGAAAAGCAGAAGGAAACGGTGAATTCGATGTCCGTGATCAAATTCACCCTTCCACCGCAGACCAAGTGAAAGGGCGACGGGGACAACCTCGACAACGGGGAGACCTCATCCGGACAAGCGCGCCCGGGGGGTTTGTCCTAAGTTCCTCGACCTCCCGGGGAACACTCCTTAACCTACCAATCTCCCCGGGGGACTTATGAAATACCATTATTCGTCCTCGGGGCGCTCATCTAAAAGTGGCATCCGTCCTCGGGAATTTCAAAACCTCACCCCTCACGACCTCGACGTATTCATCCCACTCCTAGAAAACACCGCCTATTGCGGTGGACTTTCGCATCCCTCCTCGGACGGAACGACGGAGATTCACCTCCGTCCTCGGGGCACTCAACACGCTCCGGTGGCAATTCAAAAACACAAAATGATAAAAGGCAAGGAGAGGAGACTTACTGTTTTATAGGTAACGGTGGAGTGCGCGATGGTTGGTGCGACGGAGATGTCGAGTAGGCACGAACAAAGCAGTCGTCACGTGAGAAAGGAAGCAGAAGCGAAAAATGTGGAATGGACAGGGGCTCACGTACTTATACCCCTAGCATGGGACTCGAAGCGTCCCTAGGTACTTGAGTACCCTAGGGTAGCCGCCCCACCTGTCCTGCCCAACGCTTGACACATGGCTAAGGCTATCAGTCGTGTCTCTTCACATCTCCCCTACAACAACCTTACGCCTCCCCGACAACGACGTCAGGGGCGCTTCCTCGGCATGGACGCTCGACGGGCTGAACCCTCCCATGCTCGCAGCACATCCACGTCGGGCAGGGAAATTTCCCCGTTACCGATGCCCGATAGCAGCTTTCCCGACACGCTCTCCCACCTAAGCACGACGTCATCAATTCCTCGCTCCCTCACCGCGGAGCTACGACTTGGGGGGCTCCTGTTCTGGCCTGGGCCCCCGCTTGGCCGGGAACGCCCAACCCACTTATGATTGATGAAAGGCCCAAACGAGTTCTCCTTATCTGTTTCGAGCACGAGGCTCCTGTCGACCAGGATTCCCCGCCGGGCAGGACGCTTCCCCCGTCGGGCAGAAAGACGTGCATCCCACACGTCCTCCACATGCTCCCCTCCGCGGGGACACATCACCAACCAACTGCCCACCTCCGAAAGAGCAGGTCAAACCCACTTTCCGGAGATCACGGAACAGTTGAACTAGGGCGAAGACCACGTTCTGGTCTTCACTACGCCACGTAAGCCCTAGCAGTCACTTGGGTTGGGCCTGACCATCCAGCCCAACTCAAAATGACCGTTGGCCCTGCGCTGGGGTCTCTCTATAAATACCCTCTTTCACAAGAGGGTCAGATATTCAATTCTCAACCTACTTTCGGTATTTGCTCTCATTCTGTCCAATTCATTACTTTGGCATCGGAGTGTCTTGCAGGTACACCCCCTTCTCCTCTTTAACACCGGTAAACATGCAATAAGTCAAAAACGCGTGGCAATCCAGTGATTCCCTTCTAATCAGGTCAGGTCAGGTCAAGTCTACTCCCTACTTCTTGCAACGTCTCAAAGTTCATATTTAAATCTTTGTAATCATATGAAATAGTACAATCCATTGTCAATACTTTCTAATACAACCAGCTCAATAAAGCAATGTCTCTAAATTCATAATATTAAAATAATATCTAAAGATTAATTTCCAGCCATTTGAAGTAGTAGTTAATTTTGAAATTATTTCATTGCATACTTGACAAGTCCAGGAATGTGTGTCTTCATCATGTAATCTTTCCAATTAATGCTACTAGGATCAAACTCTAGTTTCTCATCCTTCATGTTATATCCCTTTGTTTCCCTTCGTAAATTTTCTGTGTTGGCATCATCAAAGCTACAAAAGAAAATCATATTTTCATTAGTAATATGGAAAAAATAAAGATAAAATTCATCGTATTTATATTGAAAAGGAAATGAAATTACATACACTGCCTTAAAAAACACGCAAGGTTTGTATAGTTTTGCAAGTCGTTTCACCATTCTTATTTTCTTGAAGTTGTCATCATAAACATCCTGATAGGAATGGCAAATCATTTTGTTCACCAAATTTAAGACCTTGCATACATGCCAAAAAATGATTAATTAGTAAAAATACTATATTGCTTCCTTTAATATTAGGGTTTTAAATAATGGTCCTGGTCGCATTGCGGTTGCGTAAAGACTTTTGTAATTTCAATCGATACAGGTGTTGCGATATAGATTGTGGTCATAAATCAACTTTAATTTCTTATGCATCATAAAACGCTGAAAATCAATATTGATATCTGCAGTTTTCGATACCATTTTGTCGCATCCGTTTTCATGGTAACGAACTGCTTTTTAAAATCTAGGTTGTTGATGTAGCATACCTTAAGTGGGAGGACATATTGGATCTCTGTATAAATGTTGAAAGCAGCCAAACTTTTCAAGGCAATTCCCTTGGAGATGACTATTAGCTTTCCATTTTTGTTGATGCAAGGGGTTTTCATGAAATATTGATGGCAAATGTTGTGAACATCAGAAATTTTAAGAGGGTTTCTTAACGAAGAAGAAACATTGTAGATGAAGTTTTTTGGAGCTTGATTTGAGTTGATAACAATGGCTGCAATCACACAATTGATGACCAAATCTACAGGCATCTACATATCATTATCAAATGATTAGTTGCATTATACTCCAAGGACGTTCATGTAGTTTCATATATTTCATTACTAAAAATAAGTGTAAATGACAGATCTATAGTTCAATCGCTGACAAAAGTATTTATTTATATTTAGATATTAATGTAAACAAATTATCAATATTTATAAATCAACAACTTTAATCAAAACTACCGAAAATAAATATAAAAAAAAACACTAATATTTTAATCAAAATAAACAAAAATTTGTAGATATGAACTTAGCCTTGTAACTTACTATATCTAAAACTGTCTTGGGATGACCAAGAAAACATGGCAGTTTCCCTTTGCCAAAGGCACATATCATACTATCAACAGTTCTGTAATCACAAATTAAAACAACTATCACCACAACATATAAAATACAGTTAGAAACTACAATAGGAACAAAAAATAATCTCTCTCAAATTCTTTCATAATTGTGAGTGACGAATGATATACCTTTGACCTTGGATCCAACCAGGAAATGGGTCCTCGATCGTACTAGTTACCATTGTTGGGCGTATAATGACCAATGGTACATTATCTTTATGATGCACTAAAAGCATTTCTCCCATTGCTTTTGTGAATACATATGTATTTGGCCATCCATGCAAATTTGCTCTAATTTTGCATTAGTTCATGTGAGATCATAAAATAAGATTAGATCAATTCAAAAGAATGACCAAGTATTAAGAAAATAGAGTATAGTATATAAGAATCTGATGAACCTTTCAATCCCAAAATCTTTCAATGCATATTTGATTGTGTTTTCATCCACATTCATTGCCCTGAATTCTTGTAGTTTTTTCTCCAACAAATTTATTTCTGTCTGTATGTCTAGTTTTGAAGTCCCTTTTAGAGATTGACCCATCTCAAATGCTTTCTCTTCAAAAACAGATTCTCCTTCCTTAGCCTCTCCGCACACATAAGCTAGAAGAAATAAATATATATCAATTTTAATTAATATTTAATTTCTCGCACCTTCTGAACTAGACCATAATTTCAATCTGATATTGATTAATCGAAAGAATAGATTTTTAAGTCATTTTTTAACTTACCTGTTGATATGTGGACAAGAAGCTTTATTTTGTGGCACTTTTTTGCAAAGTTTAAGACATGTAAAGCACCCATTGTATTAACACCCATGGAAGTGTCAAATCTGCAGAAGTTTTTTAAATAATAAAATAATCAATTTATGTTATAGTAAAAATAATTATTTTTCCTTAAATTTGCCATCACCTTTCGTCAAAATTAGTTGTTGCAGCAGAATTGACAATAATGTCTATCTCTTGAAACATCACATTTTTAAGCTTTTCATCTTTTATTCCAAAATTTTCAATAGCAACATCTCCTGCAACTGCCACAACCTTCTTTGATATGAAAGACTTAAAATCTCCGCCCAACTTTTCTCTTAGCACTCGAAATAAATCTGTCCGAAATACCTTTTAAAAAAAAAGCAATGTAATAATTCATCAATATTCATAAAATGCAAATTTATAAGAAAATCAAATGAATATTGATGACGCACCTCATTTTTCAAACGATTAGAGGCCATGTCGGTATTTGAAGCTCTTACGAGAAGATAAAGTTTCTGTATCTCTGGTTGAATCCGTAGTATCTTTTCAACAAAAACTACAAAAAGAAAAATTCAACAAAAACATAAAATTGTGACATCTAAAATAATCATTAATATTACAAATTTGATTAATTATATAAAGTTGTGTGGTATATACTATATAGTACCTTTTGCTAAGAAACCTGTTGTGCCAGTCACTAAAATGGTCTTTCCCTTCAGAAAGTTTTGCATCATACCAGAGTTCATTTTAGAGAAATAAACTTCTTGTCAATGTTGTGTAAAGGGTTATGTATGATCCAATAGTAGTTATGATTGCATTATTTATAGATGTAAAGGTTTGAATTCAGCTGGAGTATATATTATTGAGTTTTATTTTTCTCTTTATGACTGGATTATATTTATTTTTACGGTTAAGACAGAGTTCATTAAATGAATCAAAAATGGAAAGTACTAGTATGGACCATCATTGAGAACTTATGAAAGGGTCCACTACAAAATTCACACCAAACAATGTACTCGCATAAATTGATAACATTAAAATCAGAAGGGGATAACCAAACCAAATAACCTATATCCAACCAAACAATCTAATAAATAGATCCGGACACACATGGTAAATCAATAATTTGTGTTCATCCAAAATCATTTCAACTACATACATATCCCAATGTCATTGACCAAATGCTAGTGTATGCTAAATTTATAAAAGAGGTATTCTCTGAAAAATGACGATTAAGAGATGATGAAAATGTCGTTTTGGTTGAAGAGTGTAGTGCTTTCAATCAAAGGAAGCTTCCATCTAAACTTCTGATTTAGGTAGGTTCGCTATCTCATGTTTTATTAGGCGTATAAAAGTGGACCAAGCTCTTTGTGATTTGGGGGCAAGCATTAATTTAATGTCCCTCTTAATGATGAGGAGGTTGGGATGTGGAGAGTCTAAGTCTACCCATATGAGCCTATAAAAGTGGACCAAGCTCTTTGTGATTTGGGGGCAAGCATTAATTTAATGTCCCTCTTAATGATGAGGAGGTTGGGATGTGGAGAGTCTAAGTCTACCCATATGAGCCTGACATTAGCCGGCAGATCTGTAAACACCATTGACTCTTGAAAGATCATTTTTGGTAACAGGAAGATCTTTGATTGATGTAAATTTGGACGAGTTTGCATTAAGGTTCAACAAAGAACAAGTGGGCTTCAATATGTTTGAAGCCATAAAGCCCAATATGAACAACCTTAATGCTACAAGGTGAGCAAGATAAGAAAATCACCTAACAAACAAATGCTGACAAGAACATATTTGAAAGATTGACAGAGGATCTGGTGGTGGAACTCTAGACTAAAAGGACTATTGGGCGTGTTTAGGTTTAAGGCATCCAGGCCTTACACAATTTAGAAGATTTGTGAGAATGTAAGTGTTGAATTGAAGGACCCTAGAGAATTAAAGTACTTCGTTGTTATGGGTAAGGAGCTAATAGTCTTGCCACATACTGAAAAAGCATCGGAGATGGTGTCTCTGATGCTCATAGAGCCTTAGGATCTTGAGTCAAGTAAGTGACTTTAAATAAGCGGTGCGTGGGAGGCAACCCATTAATTGATAACTTATTTTAATTTCATTTGCATTGATTTAATTTCAGTTAATTTAAAAGTTTGCCTGCTTTGCATTTTTGGGTGTTTGGTATTTTTAATGTGTGTCAAAAATATGTAAAATATTTAAAAGGGTAATAGAAGTATCAAGTTGCAATGAGGTAATGTGTGAGAGAAGAATTATGTGCCCAAAAAAGGAGTTTGCCATTGGATTTAATGTGGGCGCACAGTCATCCAATCTTGGCGCGTTAGGCCTTCAACGCGCGACATTACTACATAGTGCGGACACATTATGCCTGTTGTGGATATAACCCTTGGGTTTGATTGTTTGATATGGGATCGTTGGCTCTACCATTGGCCAACACGGGTGCATTGGACTTTAACACAGGCGCATAGGACTTCAATGTGGGCGTGCTGAAGCTCTATAAAAATGGATTTTTGCCATTTTTTATTTTCATCCCAACTCTAATTCTCACTAACCTTACTCTATTTTTTCATCTACCCCACCTTCTCAAACTGCCATAAAATACCCCATCTATCTGTTTGCAACTCAAGCAAATGCAGACAATCACTAGTGGAAAAAAGGCTTTTTAAGTCGGTTAAAAATGACTTTTTAAGTCGGGTCCGAGTCCGACCTAAGAATTAACGACATAAGAAGTTTTGACTTCTTAATTCGGTTGTGGACCTGACTTAATAAACTATTATTAGGTCGGTTAGACAGAACCCGACTTAATAAGTCTAGCCTCAAGAAACCATTTATACCCGACCTAAGAACTTACTTTCTTAAATCGGATATAATTAACCGACCTAAGAAGTTGTTTTTTTTTGTAATAACACTTTTTTTATTATATATATATATATATATATATATATATATATATATATATATATATATATATATATATATATATATATATATATATATATATATATATATATATATATATATATTAAATAATCGGTTAACAATCAAAATATTTTAAAAATTGGAAGGTTTGAAGTTCATAACAATGTAAAGCCACTATTGCTAAATTTGGTTTATTAACCAAATTAACAGTTTTTACAAATTGCAAGTTGTATCCGAAATTTACAGCTTGGAAACGCGACTCAATTATGAAAATTTCTAAAGTTAAGTTGTTACATGAGGAACAAGCCATTACTATATACAGAACCATTTCATCATTCATCGAGGAACTTCAGCAATGCACGTACAGTGTTAGTCTAAAAAATAAAGTCATGTATAGCTAACCAAGATTAGAGCAACAGAATTTTACGTGCAAGTCCAACTCCGAGTATAGTCACATTATTTCCAAGAGATAACGAGTTGCTGTAAACTCGATCATGAGAGGTGGCACCAATAGTAAAGACCCATGGGCTAAAGGGGGACATGCTCATAGCTGAAGGTCTAGTATTTCCAGCAGCTTTCACAACAAAAATACTAGCCTTTATAGCTGACAAAAATGCCATGTCTATTGGGTTGAAGAAAGTTGCAATACCGGGAGGACGCCTATTTGGAGTGATTGACAAGCATATTATATCAAATCTATCTTGAGCTGCCTGTAAACAATCAAATTAGTCATAATATTAAGCCTGATGTAAATGGCATAAACAACACTGAGTATTTGTCTATCTATATATGTACCTGATCAATAGCTGCAACAACATCTGCAGCAAATCCTCCAAATCCCTTGTATAGTGCCTTGTAAACAGCAATTCTGTGAAAATTGAAAAGAAATGCATTCATAATCTAAAATAAAATAAACCATCATAATCATGGCACAATAACTTTTAACTAAAGTTAAATAATAGTTACTGTGAACGAGGAGCCATCCCGCTAGCATTTCCAAAATTATACCCATTAACAACCACTGGAATTCCATGGTTTCCAGCTGCAATAGAAGTTGTGTTCCTGTATATTACAGATACATCAGAAAGGATATATTTGAGGGTCGATTGATTGATATTGATATCCAGATGGACACAAATAAAAGAATGGAGCAATTGCTAAAATACTCACGTGCCATGGCCATCACGGTCGAAGGGAGAAACATAGTCCTCGATTGGATCAAGCATTTCTCTGACTATAGCAGATGTTGCAAAATGACAGGCTCCAACAAGCTTCCTATTGCAAGAACTAGATGGAAAATCAGGAGTAATCTCACAGGTGCCAGAAAAACGAGGAGGAGGATGAAATGGAAGTTCAGATTTATCATCCAAGAAACTAGGGTGTGTAGGATCAATGCCAGCATCAACAAATGCAATAGTGATTCCTTCTCCGGCAGTTTCAACTCCACCTGTTTGAAACCAAGCTCCCTGTGGCAAACCCAAAAACTCTGGGGTGTGTGTGGTTGCAGTTCTTACAGAAAAGTCTGAAACCACATTGGACACTTCTCTTCTCCTTGATAGCTTTTCTACCTTAATAAGTGATTTCAAAATTATAAGCGCTTAAATAAGCTCTTTATCTAAAGACGGCCACAAACATGATTCAAAAAATGAAAAACAACATCATACCTACTGTTGAGTAACAAGCACAGAAAATCCATTGATCAAGTAATGGTAGCTATAGAGTTTCACATACTTCTCCCCTTTAAACACCTTCTTCAACAACGAGTCATGAACTTGTGCGATGTTAGACTTAGAACCATGTCTCTTATATGTATTTGTAAAATTTTGATGTCTGAAAAAAAAACATTAAACTAACTAGTCCATGCAACATAAACATTTTCAATACCTTAAAAACAAAGAAAGTGAAAGGGATGCTGTACCTTAGGTTGTGAAGTGCAGTTCTCCTAAAAGTACCATGTCTGAAGTGATTATAATCTGTTTTCAACTCATTCTGATGATGAGAAGTACGGGCTTGTCTGAGAGTAACAATGTAGACATCAGTCGTTACATGATTTTGACAAGAAGAATGCATTTTAACCATCCCCAAGAAACACAACATCAGTCGTTGCATCATTTTGAGTGCTAGCATGCTGAAGATAGTCCAGTATTTGCTGATTTTTGTCAGGTTTAAAATAAAATAAGAACCAAAGCATTATTCTATTAGGTGAGGTCTGTCATAAGGATCAAACAGTCGAAATACACAATATTAACTAACCGGCAATGACTTTAAGTTAAGGCCATCACAAGTTATAAATTATTTTGTAGAAAAATCACTTATTTAAAATAAAAAATCATTTTCATGGATTCTGTTGAAGTTGTTAGTTTTAGATAAAAAAGAGGAGACAAATAATAAGAGTTTCAGGAGAAACCAAGTGCTCAGAGTAATATATATTCATTATACATGGCTGCCCTACTTAAAAGTTAAAACTGAAAGTAGTGGACTATTTCAGGAAAAACCAAGTGCTCAGAGTAACATATATTCATTATACATGTAAGATGTGTTTGTTCTATCATATATAACTGTTGTCACTCATCATAATTGAGGAATATCAATAATGGTGATATGTTGTCACAATATGTCAAAAGCAACTAACCTTGCCAGATTTTAGAAGAACTCATATACATCTCTCTCTATTGCTTTTAAAGGCATCTGTGAACACCAAACAAGAAACAAAAAATCATCAGGAAAATGTTGAAAAATATCCCAATAACTCAGAACATAATTAGTATATATTTTACATATTTAAAACAAATGAAAATGGAGGCACTCAATCAAC